CAGCACACCACAAATTACATAGGGGACCCTTCACTTCTCAACTACACGCATCTGCCAAACTACTCTCACTCTGTCAATGTAATTTTTAGCATAATATTTATAAATGAGACAGAAGAAGGTTGTAAGCTGTGAGAATTAAAGTACATGACAATGTTGTTATAAGAGCATGGAAAGAAAAGGTTATATGCAGTGTCTCAATTTGCTGCTACTGCTTTGTTTCCTGGATAAGGAGCTCCAGCATACATACCAAATTCTTATTTCATCAGAAGACAAAAAAGAGCATATGTATGAACTTCAGAGGGTCCAACAAAATAGTTAGAACATTGGCCCTTCAGTCCTCCCACAATGGGCCAGCTTCAAATTTTGGCTTCAACTCTGCACCATTAGCCAAAGGAGAGCTACCAATATTGGTCTGAATTAGGCAAAGAAACTACATGCACAAGACTCAGCCATCAGCCTACACACTCCTTCTTCAAATACAGGATCATTCAGGACATTTTTCATACTAAGCAGATCTTAAAAATAACCCACACTACCAAAAGTTTTTTCTTCTACCATAAACACATCTTCTTTTTCTTTTTTCAAAAGAAAAATTTTCAGTGATAGCGGATTCTTCTCTGTTATCCCTCCCTGCTATCTCTAGTTAAGAGTAGCACTAATTTGAAATCAAGTTGCTAAATGTAAGGTCTAAACAATACTTTTATTTAAAATCTATAAATCTCAATTTTCATTCCCCTTTTGAAGATAACGTTTACGCAATATCTTCCTTACTATTCTGTGATCCATGTAGTTCCAACAAATCAAAATAAGCTAATTTTAAGTTATTTTGCTATTCAAAATTTGTATGTCACTAAAACAGAAAATAATATTCAAACCCTTACACAAGCTTTATGAGTTTTTGAAACTGGAAGCATTTCTACTGATCACAAATTGCTGCAATAGCATGACAAACACTTCAACTGAAGATTCTTTCTTTCCTTCTTTCTTTCCTCTCTGTGTAAATGAACAGCCATTACAACAGAATAAGTTTACACCTTTACAGTCAAACTTCTAACACTCTGAAGGAAAAAGTATCATGCCACCCCTTGTGGCATTTCAATGAAAAACTATTTTTAAAAAAGATTAGGCTTGGGTATGGTAATTCCCTCAAGTTTTTTGGTTTTCTAAAATTTATTGCCTAACATTCATACCTTCAACAGAAAGGAAAGGGAGCTGAAGTTTTGAAGGTCTCCTCCACTAATTAAACAAAAAACTCCGAAACAGTTCAACTGTAGCCTCTTATTTCTCAATGATGCTACTGGTGAGCAAGCAAAACCTCTAGTTTATTTTTGTTATCCCCATCATCCAATACAGAACTGTCCTCATATATATTCTACCACTGGACAACACAGAAGAACAGAAGATATCCATACAATTTGTAATTTGCCTTCTTGCCTCATGTTTTAAAAAGAAGTATAAAAACTAAGGTTTCCTGCAGAGCACTAAGGAAGGAGCAAGGTGCTCTGCTAGACCTGAGCACTGACACTTACATATGAGGAGTATGCAGAGTCAAAATAATGTCAGTTTTTTAACCAATTGAAGCCAACACATTCTTTAGTACAGCCACAGACTTAATACTTACCTTTACAGAGACTTAGCACAAGTATAGAAAATCCAACAAAAAAAATCCACCTTCATTTCTACTTTGTGCTTAAATTCCTTATGGGAGAATGAACCAACTAAAGCACACTGTGTTTTGCATAAGGATCTAGAATATGAGCACTGCTTTTTATCATACGGTCCCCTTTACTATATACAGTTATGGTTCACAAGCAACCGGTTTTAACATCACCTCTGCGAATCAAATATAAATGTCACAACAATCAAAACATCTTTTAAGAAATATTTTAGATATAGATGAAGCTGCTAAATCCTTTGGATAACATAATGATGACTTTTTAACAAAAAAAAAGTTTCTGTTTTTGCATTTTACTGAAACATAGATTTAAAAAAAATGCAAGCTATTTCATAACATGAAATAATTTCACATTTACAGCCAGGTTCAACTGAGTAACTTCAATTCACTACAGCCATGTTTCTTCTCATTGAGAAGAAACATTTGGTGTGTAATGATTCCACTAAATGGTACTGACCATTTAGCAAAAGCCTGATAGATTCTCATTTCTTGCCCTTTAACAAGGTTCAAATTCAAAAGCTAAAGTGTGAGTTCAATTACATCACAGCCCTAGTCAGCATATGTTATGTAGGAAATCACCAGAAATGCTTCAGCACTTGGGAATTGTCACAAGAAAGAAGTAGCAGCTGATAAAGGCAGAAATTTTGCCCTATGCTGAGCATATAAAGCAGATAACAACTTATTTCAGCTGTTTCCCTGACTATGTCTACCCAAGACATGAAAGGAGGAGACTGTGGAAGAGTTGACAGCACCACACAGGGTATTATCATCAGGTATCACGTTCAGTTATTCAAACACAGAGTAAGAAAAAACAAAACAAAAAGTGTGACAAGTTTTGTTCACATCTGTTTATAATAAGGTCTGCAAATACTTGTCTTTGCAGGACAGAATTTATTCCTACTACTAAAAAAAGGAAATAAAAGCAACTTCCTCAGACATTATCGATGAACTGTCACTACAACAGTTCTAGCCACACAAGTTAAACAGATTAAGCTCATTAGAATAAAAATAAAAGGAGCACAAAATACATTAACTTGTAGAACACTAAATATCTGCACAATTTGCCTCTATCATTTTACTGATGTAATTCTGTTTCAGCTTGCTGCAGATTAAAGCAAAGCTGAAACAAATAATTATTCTCAAAAGTTTCCACCAACACTTTTTTCACATAGTGGAGCAACCTGCACCATTCTGAAGAATTAGCCAGTACAAATGTACCCATTTTAAGAACCTACCAGAATAAACACATCAGTAAAAGAGACAACCTGCTGACAGTTATCCCTCTACAAAAGGTATGTTTACATCAAGGTTTAAAGTATAAGCTCTCAAGAGCAAGGACATTATCTTCATAGTTGTCTCTAAAGCATTTAACAGACTGTAAGCACTTGAAAAAAAAATCTAGGGAAGAAATTAAAGTGGACCAGCATGCTTGGCATTCTCTTCTCAGTAGGTATGAATTATGTTTAGGTTACAAGGGCACAGCTGTAAAACACTCCTGAATTCTTGTCAAACACAAATGTTCACAAATAGGAAAAAAAATACACTCCTATAGAATCCCTGAAGATAAGGAGCTAACGTGTATATCTCAAACACCAATAGCTGGATAACTGCAGAGCCAACCAATGGTTTGTGGAAAATGGGATATGGCTGGAGAAGGGGCCATGCAGGGGTAGGACAGCACTCTTCTGGGACAAGCATCCTCATTCTAGTCCACAGAGACACAAAAAACAAAAGATAGAACCAGCACAGAAGCGAGCATGAACTGTTGACCAAAGCCCAATGCTGCAGGGAGATAATGAGATCATCAGGGATCCCCTAAAACCCTCCAAGCCATTTCCAGAAAGGCCTCAAAGAATGGACCATACAAGATAACTGATCTACATAGAAAATGAAAACCTTTGTTTCAGGACAAGGAAACTACCTCCAAAAAGCTACCCCACCAAGCCCTGCCTGCACATCCCAGGACATCCCATAGCCAGACCAACAGTAGGAATCAGGGCCGGTGATCTCTTTTTCTCTCTCTTTCTTCCTTTTTCTCTCTCTCCCTCTCCTTAATTCATCTCTTCCCTTCTCTCTTCCTTTCTACCCTATCCCTACCATGTAAGCTGTGTGCTTATACAGTAGGCCAGGGACTGACATACCCATTTCAATGCCAAGCGTGCAATTTATGTAAAAACCCAGTGACTTTTTGTGGACCCTCCAACTTCTGTTGTCCCTTTCAACCACAAGTATTTATGAATCCTGGGTGCTCCTTTCCCCTACTTCCTAAGTGTAAGTACTGTGAAAGGATAAAAGAATTTTCCAAACAGAGAGGTGTAAAAACAGAATTAATTTAATGAAGCTAAAAAGCAAACTCCTCAAAACTTCCAGAAGAAGAAGAGTCTAGAAAAAGATGCCACCCAAAATAGTAAGTGGGGGATGTAGCTCCTTGATTTCAGTGAGAGCATCTTGAAAAGAAATAGAACTATCTCAGCACTGAAAATTAATAGCTTGGAAAAACAAGCAACACATCACTTTTTCTATGAGTTAAGAAGTGAATATTTCTATTATTCTCATGCACATACAATAAACAATCAAATTAAATGGCAACTCGCACCAGAATTTACCATCTATCAAATGCTTTCAAAAAATCATAGTCATACAAGTAGAGGAATATACAAGATCATTCTTTTCTATTGGTTTGGTTCTTTAATAAGTGGCTCAGCTCCCCAGTCAACCCCAGCCACACCTAGGCTCAATACACAAGAGCCACAAGCCATAGCCAGAGATCACAGCAACAGAGTCCTACTCCTGTTCCATAGTTTCCATATTTTCAAAACAGCAAAACTGAAACAGAAGTTAAAATAACAAAGCAGCAAGACCATCCAAAGCACAAAACTGAAGCTAGTTCAACTTTTAGATATTGACAACATAGAGATAAGAACTTTAGTGAGACTGAGAATTTACAAAATTTATGTAGATGCAAGTCCTTCATTTGTGGTCAAAATAACAAGCTACAGGAGTTAAAATACACTGCAGTAATTTTTAAGTACAGTTTCACATGCTTAACTACACTTTTTCTACAAGGTTTTAACATATGTAATCTTCCCAAATATCTTTGCACTGCCCTTAAAGAAAACCTTTTTTTCATTAGTTCACTACTGCTAATAATTCAGTATTGGAGAAGCTTTCAAAAATATTTTAGAATGTGACAACTGAGGTATAAGTGTAACCTCTACCAGACGCTCAGTTTAAAGTCTACCTAATAATGCTTTAATTATTTAAAGCCTTATGAATCATCAAGGTGGGGTAGGGGATAGAGAACTTTAGTAAAATTACCACTGACTTTTGAATTAAGTTGCTCTGTCCATCTTAATTTTCTTTCAGGCAGTAGCAGCTCTGTTGAATGCAAACCTACAAAAAATAATTATAAACACATTAATGCTAAAATTAAAAAATATTGAATCACTGTGGGATGAAGAAAACTACATCTAGAAATAACAAGGAAGATAAGCCAATTCACCACTAAATTTTATTTTGTATCATTCCAAGGAGAAGGAGCTCTTTTTGAAGTGCTACACTTGCAGACCATTCAGTCCATTTCATTGCCATTACAGAACACGAAAAAACACTGAAGTCAATCTTACAATATCAACACAGATAAAAGCTAGACTGCACAGCCAGTAAAATAATTTTTGGTAAAAAAAAACCCGCTGGCTTTCATATGTGACAAAGAATAGTGGAAAGGAAAAAAAAGAGTGAAAATCCCTCTATATTATTACTAGCCTGATGCTGCAAACACATCTAACACAAATGGAAGGAATGGCACATGCAAACTATCCAGAAGACTTGGTCAAAAAGATACAACATTTACTCTTGAGACTACAACATTAACATAAACGCAAAATTCCTTATGGATTTAGTCTAGATATAGCTACTTTTTAATCTCACATAAAAATCACACTCTTATGTACACGTTTCTTCTTGTAGCTGTATTCTTCAAAGTCTTAAGGAATTATAAAAGCCAGCAAGTAAAAATTAACAAGCCTCGACATTCAACATTCTCAAAAAAACAAAACAAAAAACAACCACCAAAGAACCTCTAACCAGTAAAAATTACAAGTTTAACTGTTCTACCGATAAAATGTTTTTTCAAGTGAAAACTGAATTATGAACACTACAACACTTACCTAATCCAAGAGGACCACACAAGGTGCTAGTACTGCGTGATTTATATTTTTCCAGTTTGTTTTCCTTGAGATAATATCCCCAGCTCCTGTTGATACTACATTCGTGGCAGTTTGACATAGATTTGACCTCACAGAAATCAGCTACCCATCCTTCTCGCTTACAGATTCTGAAAGGCTATTTACAAAGTCTGCCAATGTCTGTCTTAAAAGCCTTTTCTTTTCTCTGACAGCTTCTTCTCTTGTCTATTGCATGTAGATACCATTATATGCAGCATCAGCTCTAAGTGAAATACAGTTCTTACTCCACAGACTGTGATGTCGAAAACTCAAATTTCACATATGAACTGAAGAACATTTCCTACCTTCCGGTAGCAGAGGCATTTGTAAACAGTTATCTGGATACCTCCATACTGCTTATGAGCAACAACATTTTTCAAGAAAAATATTAAATAAAATACAAAAGAAAAAAGTATAAACACACACCTATTAAATTCTTCATTTATAAAATCGGTCTCACTGCAAAATGAAAGAAGACTATGTCAGAAAATCTAAAAAATGAAATAAGGGGGGAAAAAAAATCTGCCATGAAACTTTTCAGCAACGTCCCCACAGTGACTCAGGCCACATTTAACCCGCAGCCAGTTAACAAAACTGGTTAAGCCTCTGACTCAGAATGTTGCCGAGAAGAAAAAGAGTACGTAAAAAGAGGAAAGCACTTTATTTTTGCAGCTGAAGTATTCAGAACTTCATAAATTTAGCTATGTATCCATGCCATGCGGACAAAAGAATCCGAGGGTGATGTGCTCGACACTGCTAGAAGAAAAAACCTCACGATTTCCTCAGTTCTCTTCCCAGATGTCTACTGCTTGTTTGAGAGGCCTTTTCTGGACAAAGCACGCACAAGTTATCCCAGAACAGTGTCCGATATTTCTTCCTTTCACAGGAAGAACTGCTGCAGGTCAGTATCCACCTTTTCTCTTCTCTGCCAGCTGAAGCAAAAGGCTACAAACATCAAGGACTGACTCTATCGTTCAAGCAACCGAAGGTAAAAAGAACCAGAAAAATCAGTTCTCCCCTACGAAATCCGGACTGGCGTTAGACAAACACGAAACAAACAAAACCCAAACGCCTGAATCTTAAAACCAGAAGCAAACAGGAACCTGGATCGCAAAGAGCACATACGGACGCAGCCGTGGAGCCGAGCCCGCGAGCGGAAGCCTGGGTTACACCTCCACTCGCAGGCACAGAGGGCGGCAGCAGTGTTTGACGGGGGGCGCAGCCTATCAGCGGAAACCTCCTCCTGCCGCTCGGCCGCGGCAGGAAAACAGGCTGGGGCCTGGAGCCACGGACAGTGGGGGCTGGGAGGAGAGAGTGGGGCGAAAACAGGCAAAGAAAGAAAGGGTCATGTCTCGTTTTATTGGCGAAGCTGAACAGATGTACAGAAGGCACCCGGGCGGGAAGCGCTGACCTGGGCCAGGGACATTTCCCGGAGGGCCAGCGGGAGCCGCCGGGGGAGCCCCAGCGTGGCCCGGGCCATGCTTCCTTTCCCGGGCTGTGGGGACAGACAGACGCCGCTGTCGGGGTATGCGGACACAGGCCGCCCGCTCCGGAGTGTGCGGGCACACAGAATCCCAGCTCTCGGGGCGGGCGGACACACGGAGCCCCGGCTCTCGGGGCGGGCGGGCACACGGAGGCCCGCCTCTCGGGGTCCGCGACCTCCCGCTGCACCGCCGAGCACCCGCCCTCGGCCCTCCTGGCGACAGCCCCGCCTCCGCCGCCGGGGGCGGCTCCCCGTGCCGCCCCCGAGGGCGGTCCGGGCAGCACGGCGCGGCAAGGAGCGTGGCGGCCCGGCTACCCTGAGTCCGCTCCGCGCCCGTTCCCGGGGCTGTTCCGGGCTGTTCCGAGTGCCCCCCTCGCCTCACCACGCGCGCGCGCACACCGCGCGCTCGCCTCGCTTCCTCAAAATGGCGCCGCTCCGCGCCGCAGTGCTCCCTATGCGCACGCGCAACCTCCGCGAGAGCCCCCGCGCGGGAGCCTGGGGAGGAGCGGGCGGTGCTCCCGGTACCGCCCCCGCCGTGACGTCACGGGAACCATCCCGAAGGTTCCGCGCGGGACGGGGAATCCCCAGAGCGCGCCCCGCCCTCGCGGCGGGAGTCCCCGGTGCCGCCGTCACTAACCGTGCCGCGGCGCGGTCCCGCCTGCGCATGTGCAACGAGCTGCTGAGGCCGAGAGCTGAAAGCTGGGCCGGCCGGGGCGGGCGCCGCGGGACCCCGGCTGGAGGCCCGTAGGCCGCGTGTGAGTGCGAGAGCGTCCGCCCAGAGCGGCCCTGGATCAGCCCGGTGTGTGCTGGAGAGATCCCCGCCGGGAGGACGCGTGGCGCCGCGGGCCCCGGGAAGCGCAGGTCCCTTCCCATGCCCGCTGCCGCGGACAGAGCGGGCTCCGCAGCGCCGGGTGCTGCCCGCACCCGCAGCGCGGCTTAATCGCGGTGCCAGAGGGGCCTGAGGCCAGTAAAAACCAATAACCACGGATTAATAAAACAAAATATCAGAATCTTCGCTAAATCGACACTTCGGTGTTCCAGCGCACGAATGGAAGTACCCTGGAGGTCCGCATGGTTATTCCGAGTGTGCAGTTTTGAGAGAAAAGTGATGGGAGGATCCTTACTGCCTGGGATCTAAAGGCCTCAATCACCGTTTTGCAATTTTGAAATCCTTTTACCAACGCAATCAAAATTGTTTTTTCAATTAATTAAGTAAAAAAGTAAATTTACAAAAGTAATATTTTGATATAATTAGAAAGAACGCTGGCAAGTGCTTGTAGCACCTGCATTTGATTGTGGGTTTTCTTTGAAAGTTTCCTCCACAAGTTTTAAGTTATTGTAGAAACTGAGATTATGCACTGACTTTTGACAAAAATTATCTCAAACTGTAGGATTCTCTTTTAAATGCATTTTACGGGCATGTATGTGGCCAATGTAAATTAGTTTTCGTAACTTGATAAAAATCACTAGAAAGCAACAATTGCCAGAAACTTGACTAAACAATTACCAGACTAACAGCAAACAAACTAAGCAACAATTACTGGAAACTAAAAATCAACAACTGAGAACATAAAGTAGAAAAAGCACATGATAATTTCATCTTTAAACTGACAGAAGCTCTGAAACAATTCAGAAGTTCTGAAACATTAATCTTCAGCTCAACTCTGAATATTTAAACACCAGTTCCAATTTCTAACACCAGCAGTGTTTTTCTAGGTTCAAGAATTCAAGATTCATCACAGTCTTGAGTGCAGTGAAACCTCCTTTCTCTTCATCCTTGAAGTTGTTTGTCCTATTTGCCTGTGCTGCAAAGTTACTAGCACAGCCTGATGCCAAACCTGAAGCCGTGAGCAGGAAAGGCAGGGCAGTGCTCTGCCCCCTGGCCCAGCTATGAACCAACAACCCAGGTCGTGGTGAACCTCACACCACTGGCCTCAGTTCATCAATGCAGCCTGTCCAGATCCCTCCCTTCCTGTTCTCCAGCAGACCAACACTCACACCCAACTTGGTGGTGTCTGCAACACTGAGGATGCACACTCAATCCCCTCATCCAGATCATTGATAAAGATATTAAACAGAAATGCCCCCAGAGCTGAGTCCTGGGGAGCCCCGCTGATGAGCGGACATCAGCTGGATGTAACTCCACTCACCACCACTCTCTGGACCCAGCCATCCAGGCAGGTTTTACCCAGCGAACAGAGCACTTGTCCGAGCCATGGGCTGCCAGCTTTTCCAGGAGAATGGCATTGGAGACAGTATCAAAGGCTTACTAAAGTCTAAGTAGACAGCATCCACAGCCTTTTCTTCATATGCCAAGCAAGTCACCTGTTCATAGAAGGAGATCAGGTTGGCCGAGCAGGATCTGCTTTTTCCCACCACACTGGGTGGGCCTGATCCCTTGGCTGCCCTGCACATGCCATGTGATTGCACGGTAGCACTCAAGATGATCTGTCCCATAACCTTCCCAGCCACTAACGTCAGGCCTGTAGCTCCCCAGAACCTCCCTCCAAACCTTCTTGTAGATAGGTGTCACATTGGCCAATCTCCACTCAAGTCACCTGGGGCCTCCCAGGTTAGCCAGGTCCATTGGTAAATGAGGGAGAGTGAGCTTTTCCACTGGCTCCTCAGTATCCTTGGGTGGATTCTATCTGACCCTCTACACTTTTGATGTCTAAGCAGCTCAGT